GATACCCAAAGCCGTAAAAAAGATCGAAGAGAAAATCAATTTATAGAACAATCATTAGATTCAAATTTAATACCCGTTTTGCCCCGATCTCTAAAATTGATCAAGAAAATTCTACTTCAGCGTTTCGACCCCTCGTTCAAGATTTCATGGAATTCCCCTGCATTCAATTATGGAACAGTAATTTCCCTGAAATGCAAAACATCGATTCATCCATTGAATCTTCGCGAAATTTTTCTCCAGAACCATCCATTGAGAATTTCAACCGCTTGTCCGAACGCACTTTGTGACAAATTCGTTATGAAGGAAAGATGCGATTCAAAATGCGGAAAACGCTCAGATTATTTGCGTTTAGACAACGAAATTGATCTGTTTTCAAATGACCAATCATTGCTCGATAGATCCGTTTCATGTAACACCTCTCATGATCGCGTGAAATTCGTGAGTAATTCACCAAATGCAATCTATAATCCCTTTCAAAATTTTGTAATTGCAATTACAAAGGGGGAAGCCATTTTGACTTCCATCCTCAATAATGTTGTTCAAATCAATGAACAATCTCAAAACAAAATTGCGAGTAAGTCACTCGAATCAAATGCGTTTTCAAAATTACAAAAATCAATTGGAAAAATTACAGATCGAAATTTCGATCAGTCTTTCAAAATCTCTTGGAACGTCAATCATTTCTTAACCCCTTCAAAATGCGATCGACCGATTAATCAATTCATTTCGGGTACAATTCCCATCGAAAATTGTGAATTAAATATTGTGAACATCCCAACTAGATCAGTTGATGGAAACAATCGATATATTAATCGATATTCGTTGAATGGAACAAACGAAAATCCAGATACTCAAATCTGCAAGTACAAAAACCTTGAAATACAACTCCCAGTAACTATTAGACCAGCAAAATATCGCTTTTTGGAAAACGAGAAGTTGTTATTTGATCAAAATCAGCTGATGATTGCTATGCTTCGGATTTTCGATCCTTGCTTTTTATATTCTCCACGAATTGTTTGAACGGAAAGGAATTACAATGCCATGGTCAAGGCTCGATAATTCACTTATTTTGACACTGACCAGCATCCTAAACTACCTTTGCGCGTCTGTTAATGCGATTCTTTCCGAACGCTCTTACGAAAGATTTGCATTTTTATCATTCAATCACTCCTGAGAGCCCTGAATTCATTTTGCTCCACACTAATGCATATTCTACATCTCTCAACTCTAAACATTCCTATTCTTATTTCCCGTTCTTATCTCTTTTTCTATTATTTTGGGAAACATGATTAGCCTAGCTAACTTAGGTATTAGATTGAAAATGACGGAAAATGATAGTAATGAATGGTACATAAAAATCAACGGCTTACTTTAGATTTTCCGCTATACTTTTTCAAGCCATCTCTCAACTGGTTATTTTTTCTTCATTATTGGGCAAAATGAATCGGATTTGTGTCTCATTGAATTCAAAATTTCAGTTTTGCTATTTGCTACTACGAGCAAAATAAAATACATCCAGGGTTAGTTTCCAGTAAAAGCGAAATAAATAACCAAAGACTTTTCGTTGCGCGGTAAAAATGAACTGAGAAGAAAGACAATGGAAATTTATACCACTGATTCATGAACAACAATGAACCATATCAAACCACGAAGCACGAATTCATCCCCGGAAGTCGAGGATCTAGCAGCAAGTATTTTGGCTGCCAGTATAGCATCAAAATTATCACACATTTCTTCATCATCACTGAATTTGAGTCAGTATCGATAACGCCAGGAAGATGATGAAAAACCGTCAACCTAACAGAGGTTTTCCTGAGAAACCAAATTTTTACAGCACATCATCAGGCGCTGATTAATTGTGAAAGCCCCCACAACATTTACTCCAATGATCATCAATCGAAGATCCACTCCAAGTGATCCAACATCGGCCAAAGATAATCCAACACTATCTATCGGAGGCTAAAAATCAAGCCACAGATGATTAAATCTTTCAATCGAAGGCCCTTCAACCTGATATTGACCTCACTCTTCAAGAATAAGACTGCAGCCATTGAAATCAGCGAAAAATCTCGCCAAACCAACGCATACGCGGGGGGACGTTATTTGAAAATGCTGGACCCAGTCATCGCCTATATCAGAAGGATGTCTCAACCCTCATCTAGATCATCAGCACTCAACAATAGAATACAAGATTTGTACCCTCTTATTATTGTTACTTTTCCTGTTTTACATTTTTTTTTCAGTTGGTACACTCAATTTAACTATATTCACGGAAACTAAGAGTAGTGTTAAGTTACGTTTAGATTAGGTTAATGAGAGAGAGAATCGTTCACAACATTTAGGTCAGATCGTTAGAATCAGGATTTCTAACACAAGGAAGATCGATCACATAATTTTCAATTCGTGATGTTTTATTCAGACTTTCTAAATAATCTCACTTGCTCTGATCACCATTGCTCCTCATCGTAATAATCCCATCATTTTCCTCCACCATTAGACTCAATAAAATCCTAAAGAGAAGTAAATTTCCTGCTATTTCAGATTCGATATTTGTTATCGTCTCCATGTAAGCACAATCGCACTGTAAAACCGAGAAGAATCAATTGAAATATCTGCTCCAATAAAGCAGACACTTAATCCTTTGAAGGAAATGAATCGAGAGACAAGATTACTTCGATTCAAACACAAAATTGCCTACAATAGCCTGTCAGAAATCTAAACAGGGGGGAAGACCCTATGAATTCCAAAATCCCAGAAACTGAAGGTTCTCCATAAAAAAGTTACGTGGTGGACACTGCTTGTACTGCTGCGACCATTTGCAAAGTTGACAACACATTGGTCAATCAGTCAGCGAATCAATATTCCATCGACAATCCCACTCCGTTTTTCAACTTTCTTCCTTTCCTCCCCGAATCTCGAGCAAAGAGCTGAATTTTCCTCTACAATTTCATACTAACAGTATCATGAGTAGATATCTCAATAGAATGTTGAAGTATTAAAGACGCTTATAGGTATGCAAAAATCTAAATGTGACTGATCTCACTTGCATGTTGGAGATTCTGCTTCGATATGTTCTCATAGAATTATCCATAATAATCAGAACATTATGGAACCGATATAAATGTCAGAAAACTCAAAATAGAATATCCTACCATTAACCTAGGAATATGGTTTATCAGCGAAGAGATTTCATAAAAAAATAGAAAAATAAGTTTAGTTTTAAAACGAATCCCGTCCAACGTAAAATTGTGTGACGAATTTACACTTGAGTCCATAAATTAGAATCCTAATTCCAAAACTCGTTACAACCAATAGTTGAGAAAACGATAGTAGTTATAGTAAACGATAGTAGCCACATCGAAATTCGCACGGAATTATTGTAATTTTTTGTAATTTGAACCACGATTTGATCAGTTGTATGTTCAATTTTCAAACAGCTATTGTAATACAATTTTTTAAAAATACCATTTGCTATCAGATTGTTATTCTAAACAAAATTTCAGTCTCAGCGATTGAATTCAATGCATCTACTTTCAATTCAAAATTATCCTCTTCAATGAATACCACAAAACCTGGACTGATAACAAATCAAAATGAGCAATTGTAACTCAAGCTTTTCAAAATTTCAATCCATATGATAAATTTAAATACAAGATTAGAATCGAAGTTTTGACTTGTATGGACTCCGTATATATTTACGTTCGAACTTCTGCAAAAACCAAATTGTAAACGATAAGCAGCGAATCGAGTCATGAATATAGCGCATGAAGAGCGGCAAGCGCAGCTTTCCACCCTTCACGGGGGGGACTGTCATGTTTGGAAATAATTAAAAAATTCATTTTATTTAAAAATTATATTTGCACAAAAATTCAGACTTTTTCGTTGTCCACCGGATGTTGAATTGCTGTCAAAGCAGTTCAATGCATCGGGCCAGCATGACGCACGTGTCCCTGAAAATCCCAAAATTGCAAATGTAGCATTACTGCACCGTCTTTTCGACCTCTAAAGTCATTCGTTCAAAATTATAAAGCAGTATCGACATAGATGCCTTCAGAGCACGTCCAATGAAATCGAAGTCCTTGGATCTATACGCGTACGGAACTTATTTAATTTTGCTAGACGTACAAGTTAGATTCAAGTAAAAACTATCATTAATTTAGTGGAGAAAAAGTATAATTTGAAAAGGATAGACATATCTGCCGCGGATCGGTCGATAAGCTGCGAATTGTTTGTTACGTTTTGTGGAAGAAATTCTGTGCAAGGACACATGCTGAATAAATTATTTAGGAACTTAACAATCGTACAACTGTGAACTCTAGATAAGTGAACTTCAGTATTAATCGAAAATCTTAGTGCAACAATTTGATAAAACAAACTTTTAAAACTTGAGTGAAATAAAAGTGAACAAAATATATAGAACCACAATCGAATTATCGACACTCAGCAACATTCTGGAAAACTACATTGGATTATTAATTAAATTATTGGTTCGTACGAAATTATGTGAAACAATCATTTCATTTTGGCCTCTCTTTCACTTAATCAAAATTCATCAGTATCTTTTTTTGGGCGTCGATCGAGTTCTCTCTCTCTCCCTCGGTTCCTTTCGTTTGTAGTATTGGGTATCTTTTCAATTGAATAAACTTATTATTGCTCTTATCCAAACTTCTTTTCTTTCTTTATTTTGAGATCCCCGTCCTCAAGATTATATTTCGAATTAATTAGCAAGCATTGAGATATTTCTGTATTGAGGAGCTGAACGAAAGGTGTAGATGTGCCTAGCACTTCAAAGGTAGAGTATCTACAAAACAAAAAAAATAATTATTTCCTCAAGATTGGGAAAATTGTTAAAATAATTAACAAAATTATTTAATCAATTTATCCAAATTGAACATCAGTATCAATTACACTTATGCCTATTCAAACAATTGGACAACTTCTTTCATGATGAAATATAACTAATGAGCAGGAAGTAAGTTGTTAATTTTCTTTTTTTCTAGAATGTGGAGGTAAAATGCATTTAAGAGAGGGGGAATTTGAACGGGCGCACACAGACTTTTTCGAAGCTTTCAAAAATTATGATGAGTCGGGCTCCCCGAGGCGTACGACGTGCTTAAAATACCTCGTTCTTGCTAACATGTAAGTCATTTATAATTTCAGTAATGAAACGGTGAAACGGGATGAGATTCATTTCCGCTTTGCTGGTAGTTCTTTTACAAATAGTTTTTTTCCGTTCTTTATTTCATCAGATTCCCGAATGTATGTTATTTACAGAAATCAATCAAACGAACGACTAAATGACTAATGGTAAAGTCATTAAATAGAGCCTAATGAATCAATCAGTTAATTGATTTATTATTAGCCGACTCAGCCACCGCTACCGTTGGGTACTTATGAGGGAAAAAAGTATCATTGACAAAGGGTCATGTTTTGGACCCCTTGTGACATTGTCAGGTATTTTCATTTAAATGCCCGACAATGTGGATAGGTGCGTGCAGTGACTACAAGTGATCCTCGACGTAATAGCTCTGAACTCGTGAATTATCAAATGTATTTAATTCGAATATGGCTGAACACTCGATTCCTCTCTCAGCTTCTCTGTTCAGCTTAGCTTCCTCGCACGCCGAAACACGAGTGCAAGGCCCCAGCTTACCAATTTGTTGTCGCCAGGGCTCGTGTACATCACTATCCTACTTCTCAGGACCAGGAGTGGGATTCAGGGATCAGTAACCGTGAGAAGAATAAGCCGTGAACTCGATTAACCCAGAGCGACAGAAGTATATTTTCCGAAATAAAGCAGATAATAAAATAAAATGAACAGACGTAATAATCCCGATAGAGATTCAATATCCGTAAACTAAAAAAAATAAAGTAAAAACCAAAAGAAAAATAGATAGACCCAATGTCCTTCAATGATGGCTCCGGTTATTAGTTGCAGGCCCCAGAGAATTTAAAGAATAAATTAAAAATTAATTGTCGCACCTCTAAGTCGCTCTGATCTCAGTTCCTTTAACTTAATCCTTAATCAACTAATTAACTAATTAACAATCGATATTAAATATCAGTCTCCGGTCCTACGCATAGAGCTCTTCTAATACCTGAGGGAATTCTCCTTAATACTGACAGACTCCGTCAGATAATTAGATTATTCGAATGAAAATCACTTAATCTAAAGGAAGAAGACAAGCACAATTTATCGTGACTCTAACACTGCTCGGCTCCGGCTCGAACCGGGAAACTAAAGACTCGATATAATTCAATTCCTTCAAGGAGAAAGCTCCTTACAAAATCTTCGTCCAATTCCCCAGACCGATAACCTCATGAGCACTGGTCTCGCCTAACTACTTGGATCGACTCTATATCTAAAACGACCGGCGCTAATAAATCGATCTCTCCTCCCAGAAGGTTTTCGAAAAGATATTCGCTTATGAGGAACCACGAAAGGCACTTTAACCCCCGAAATTCACGACAAAAATCCTGATCTCCCTAATGGCGTCGGTCGCGCCCACGTGGTAGCGCCTGAGACATCTGAAATTCCTCACTTTTCTACCGAGACCCCAACGATAATTTCTCCCTCAAAGAGGAGGGCAGACGGCCCTACGACCTCTTCAAAATCTCTCGCAAATTAACGACGGCGCAGCACCAACAATTCAGATTAAAATATAGTCTAGAAAACTCACTCAGCCCCAGCTCGTTACGCACGTGGTGTTTCTCCTGTGATTCGCACGTGAAGTTTCTCCGGCGATCCCACGCCTGCCGCTTTTCGTCGTTCAAACTCGCCAAAATCTCTGCAAATCGCTCCGAAAACTCTCCGGAAGGCAGTACTCAGCATGTCCGTGGTGGATGGCCCACCAAAAGCACTAATAAAGACCTTTACTCGACATAAAAGACAATCATAAGACGGGCTATTCAGAATCGATGTGATCAATATAAGATGGCTACGCAGAGTGAGTTGTAACAAGGCGAATGTCTTGTTCGTAGCCCCGTGATGACGTACTTCCGTGTAGTCTGCTTCTCTTGAGTGCGGAGTTCCTCGGCGGGAACCAATCCCGAGGCCCAGCTCCATGTCTCGCTGCTTTGTGGTACCCCCTCTAGTCGGTGATGTGAAGGTACGTAGCCTTGACATTGACTCCGGTACCTGGGGTGAGCAAATCAGAGCTGAAGGCTCCAGTTTCCCAATATGGCGCCGCTATAGTTGGGAGCACGGTGACGGCAGGCCAATCCGGAGTAGGCTTTGCTGTTTTGCCATTACCCACCATTGCGTTCGGCAGCGGCCCCGTCGGCTTCTGCCCCCTGGTGGGGAACATGGTTCCGCCAAAACAGTCACCCTTGTTTTGACAGGTGCGGATCTCCCGTGGACGGGCGAGTACCCTTCTACTGGTATCAGCGCGCCGTTAATTAGTGGACGTAGTCCCCGGTGGTACTGCAATCCTCTGAGGAAGGCTCTCCGGTGTTCCTGATGGCCCTTCGCGGCGAGGACAACGAGCTAGAACCTCGTGAGTGCTCCCTAACCCCTATTAAACCGCGAGACCAGTGTCGTTTGGTGGTTTTCCCCTCAGGCCCATTTTACCCCACACGTCCAATCGAGGACGTAAACAATACCCTCATTGTCACACCCTCATAAGCCTTTTACGAGAATTGTTTTATGACTTTATGTCCTGAGAACCTTCTTGAGTCTTATCAGTAGATGGCGTAGGGCCAATTTTTCGAAACTCGGCGTTTTGTTCGCCGGCGGTCGGTACACAAGGGCATTAGTTGCAGGCGGGCCGCCTGAGTAAGCGGATGGAAGAAGGGATGTTGAAATGTTTTCATGTGATCCTAATAAGTCACCAATTCTATTCGTTGAAAAAAGAAAACAAAATCCTACACATTATTATTCAATTGTCATGGTGTTCTTCTTTTCCCATCCTATTTTTTTCGCATTTCCATTACGCATGCATGTATACATTCTAATCAAAAATTGATAAACATGGATATACACGTTTCTATGGGGGACCACAAAACTAGGAAAATCATTGAAACGTTGCGTACTGAAACTTCGCCCATAGGTGAAGTTAATAGGTGGGTTTCATTACCCACGAACGTTACATTCCCACTGTCATTAGTCAAAGCATTAATTTCCAAGGAGTCGTTGAAAAAAACACAGAAATTGCTTCCGATCGAAAGAGCTGCACCTACAGTTGGTCTATCTCAATGAATTTTCAATTATTCTTCGTAAATTAATGCTCTGACTGATGAGTGAGAATGCAAAGTTTGTGTGTAATTGAATGATTTACCTGTGGGCGAAGTTCCACCATGCTAAACCAATTTTTTAAAGATTTTTCTAAAGTTTTGTGGTCCCCCATACGAACGGGTGTTAAATCCTAACCTTCCCCTTCCCCACATGGAGGAAGAATTGAAATACAATTCTTAAAGAATTGTAATTCAATTTTTTTCACCTGTTAAATTGCGGCATTCTAGAGTGTTTCGGTATGTTTTCCTGAATAGAAATTTTGATGAAAATATACTGATTGATTCAGATTTGTCTGTAGAAGTTATTCTATTTTATATCTGTCTTGATATATAAAATAGATAACTTCTATAGTTATCCATTTGTTATCGGCAATTATTTCCGCAATTTTTATCTCATTAGAAAATTTGAGCGGAAAACGCCAAGAAACTTGTATTCATAACTCATATATTCTGGAAGTACACAACAATTTCTTATTTAAGCCTTTTTTCTCAGTTCCACCGAACTACCGTTTTAAACAGAAGGACTGATAAACAAACACATTTTATATTTCGAAAGAACTAAACTTTAAGTTGACTTCATCTGTCCAGAAATGAATGCTGCAACGTGACCTATTATCCATTCTACAAGTTCCAATAAAATACAGAATAGTTCATGGAATGACAAATTTGAAGCAAATTCATACATTAAAAATTGTTTGTGGCTCTGAAAAGATCCGATTAATAGATATCAATTGCAGTGTAAAGCACAATATGTACAGTGCTTTAAACAGAGCTTGTCTGCCACTTCTTTGATTATTGTGAGCTCATTCAGTAATTCCTTCGATGCTAGAGTTATTTGGAATAGCGTTGATGCTAATCTCCCTGGGGCTTGATTTTTGCCGCAGTTGAATAATAACCATTGGATTAAGTGGTCTTCCTTTGCTAGGGTGATCTCATCAATAGCCTTTTTCTCTTCCGTAGATTTGAGTGGAAGGAATTTGGATTTCCGGATTTCCTTCTGATGATAATTTCGCTCTCTCCTGAACTCATTTCTCACAGCAATGGTTACTCTAGGTTCAACGGCTTCCACTCTTCGTCTTGAGATATCCTAGGAGCGCAGAGATGAAGCTGCCTTTGCGATACGTCTTCTTACATATGCGGGTAATAATGCCACTGCGGAAGACCAACAGGAATCAGTTCAATTCTTAGGGTCATGTTGTTCACCCGTATAACAACTGGTCTATTTCCCGTGTTGTCTTACGTCGAAGTCGATGCCCTAACTTGAAGAGAAGTTAGCAAAGTTTCCGTAGTGCTGCTTGTTGATGGAAGGACAGAGGACAGTGGCCTTCTCCAGATGGGAGCTAAGGGTTGTTCCACAGTTCCAGAAGATAATTCTACCCTCAATTTCTCCAATGGGTTGTAATCTTCGGGCGGTACCTCAGATCTCAGTTGTTCTTCGTTGGATGTTATTGGAATATCAATGTAATCTCCATATTTGGCAAGTGTTTTTCTAGCTTTCGATGTTCTCTCCATCCTTGACGTTCGAAAAGTGTCGCAATAATTTCGTTCGTGGCTTTATATACCTATTTTCGAAGGTACACCCGAAGCAATTATAAACATGAACGACATGAATGCACAGTCTACAAAATAAAGTTTCAATGCGTTTTATTATTCCGAGGCTCCTTTATTTGCAATATTTTGGTGTACTGCGTACAGATCTACCGGATGAATAATGGGGATCCTTATTTTTTTTAATTACCTGCACTTTGAAGACAATATTGGGAGGCTGCAGTAAATAGCAATGAGGGTTGACAGGTGTACGATGTTACCCGTAAGGCCACGATGTGGATAGCACAGGTAAACATTCCCTCCCTGCATTAGTAAATAAAACTGAGGGTTGGCAGGTGTACGATGTTACCTATGAGTTT